AATATTCTTAAATTTGTCATCGAACTAGGTCGTTGGCATCACTGGCGCCTAGGTGCCAGCAACAACAAGTTGGAGGACACGCCCCCAGGGGCGGTTCTTAGCCGCGCCCACTCCTCAGAAGTTTTTTATGGAAGTGAGTGTGGGAGCTGACATGATGATGCCGCTGCCAGGCAGTCCTGGCATGTCTTGACGATTGTCCCATAAATTTTTTAGATTGACCCGAATAGCAGAAGCCTTTGACATCATCGCTGGCACACGCTTTTCCTGCTATTTCCTATCATCCCCCTGCCCGTATTGACAAAACTATTTTCCGGCGGAAGTTGGGGAAGTGGGGAAGAAGAAAGTGGAGGACAAGGAGAAAAGTTGGCACTCGATTGGGGTGGCGCATACCTTGACCCAACCCGACCCGACCTGTCTTACAGTGTAATGAGCTTGGAATCGTCGCCGGGTTCTGAGCTCCTTATCAGCTCAAGTTGGCCACCACTCGAAGGTTTGGGTGCACAAACGAAGTTTGCAGAGCAGAGCATATGAATTCAATTTATGCATTTCCGCCGCTCATAAATATATTCTCGTTAAACAAAGTTTGGCAAACTTTACGACTTTGGCCTTGGGGTTGCAGGCACCGCCAGACAGGCAGTGAAAAATCGCCAGGAAAATGTAATCTAGCAGGCGCCCCGAAAGTTATAAATAACCAGGGGAAACGGGAGAAAATGTGTCAGATTGCCGGCAGGCTGCGCCCTTGAATGCACTTACCATCCGTATCGCGCATACGCCGCGTTGGCCAAATACAATGGCAGTGAAAGTGGAGCTTAGAGCCACGGGCAATTGGCCAAATCTCGGCCAGAAAAACTGGGCCATAGTGAGTTGGGAATTGCCGGAACTAATCCCGCCAACTGATATACTATGCAATACATATATGTTGCAATAATGCAGCCTGCAATTAGTGAGGAATTTCATATGCTCCCGCACTTTTCAAGCTCTGCAACCACTTGAATAAATTAAACGCTGACCATTTTCGGATCCCAACACTGTTTATGGGCCCATGCATGAAATTTCACATTAATGTGGGGGGAGCATGTGTCCGCATTTGCGTTTTTGCTGCATGTGGGCATTTCACAAAATTAACTGCCTCTATCTAGTTTTTCTCCAGGCTGACAACCCATTAACTTTCCACCAGAGTTGGGTTTCTGTGTCATTTGAGCCCCAACGTACACGAACAGATGTCGGCCAAAACGCACACCATCTGGTAATGGCCACATATACTACATGTCTCTGCGGCAAGGAATAATTTAATGACAATGCCAGGCATTAGGATATCTAAGTGGTAGGCTACCCCTATTATTATATAAATGCTTTCTGTCTGCAGTCCAATGAATTGTAATGGGAATTTTCATTATTGAGCAGGATGTCACCCCTTTTTTGATTATAAAGGTTCTAAAGTGTCAATCAATTTTGAATTACAGATCATTTTCTTTTCAAATACTCTCAATCGCATTCATTAATTGGCAATCTGCCACAATTCTTTGATTAAACATTCATTTCAGAAGCTTAAGTTTTAATCATACAAACAACCAGCCAGGGAATTCCTCCCGGATTCTTATTCAATTAAGTGAGTTTTCGGCACTTTTCGCCTCGTATGCTTCCGCAAAAAGATTCCGGGATCCCCGAGGTGTGATTTATGTGCATAATTAGCCAGAAATTGCATAAGATTAGTTTTAATTAGTTGGAGAAACTTTTGGGCAGAGAAGGAGAGCGGCGAACAGCAGCCTCGGCCCGAAATGCTAAATAAATAAGTTGCCTGCAGTTCAGCCAGAAGCCAAGAAACTTCTGTAGATGACGCCGCATCCTCATCCTCATCCTCATCCGGGTCCGGATCCGTTGCGGGAACAGCACGGATTACTCTCCACCCCCCGGCAGAAGTGCAAGGAGCCTGCAAAGAAAATAAACAAAAACTTTTCCACTCGACGCCCGAAAAAGCAGGCCACGATTCCATACTCGCGGTTTTACTTTCAGCAGAGCTGGCTGCAATTTATTGCGAAAATCTCTCACTGTTTATTTCATAAGAGAGAACTATTGTAAAATCGTATTCCTAAGAAAATTTTGATATATATTTGATAAATATGTAATGGCATATATATCATATATCAATTTGGCATCTCTTCCCGCAAAGGACACGGCGAGGACCTCCTCCTTCGCTCGGGCTCCAAATGTTCGCGCATTATTTTTCATTTGCATTGCGTCATTTGTACAATGGAGCTACTGAAGGAGGAGCAGCGCCTGGCCGGGAGCCACTCCGAGCAGTCGGACTGGTAATTTATGTTGACCCCTTTGGGGAGGAGCACTTCGTCCGACGGAGTTCCGCCAGCTGTGGCAAATGTGGCAAATGTAGTTCTCCATCCGCAGCAGTTGATTGCCAAGGCGACCGCAAGACGTTGCCCGGGTAACAACACTAACAATTCCGACTTAAAGCCGCCACATACGAGTATATGTGCCTTTCACCTTCAATCGAGTGCTGCTTTTAATTGCTGGCATAAAAAATAAAGACGTCTCCACTCCAATTGTTGCTTGGAAAAGCGGTGCTGTAGTTGCAATTAACGGTGGGAACTTTAATGGTTGCTCTGGAAATATAGTCTAAAATGTATATGTGTTCTTAACACTTTTGGTTTAACGGTGCGATTATAAAATGGTCAAGTATATACTTCAAGAATTTTAATAAAGCCCTGACGACCCGTCACTCTCTTCTTCTTTGTTGCAGCTTCCGCCGTTTGAGTTTGCCTGTGTGTTTAGTTGCCTATGAGGCACAGCGAACTTTAAAGCCAATACCCGTTTTATGGAAAACTTTCGTCACTGGGCAAACATTTGCCAACTTTCGCAGCTTTTCTTGTTCGCCTTTCAGTCGTTAGGAGTGTAAACAGTGCCTCAGTTGCCCCGCAACTATGTATAGCGACTATAGCGACTATAGCGACTATAGCGACTATAGAAGCTATATCCTATATCCCGCTTTTGTGGCAAACTCTAGACTTACTCACACACACACCGAATATTTTCAGCATCCTTTCACTCGCTTCAAGTATTCGCATTCGGCTGATGCACTTTTAGCCAGCTTTTGTATGGCACTCACGTCCCGCTACGTTGCATGTGTGCCTGTGGAACGTGCTGGATGCCAATTGTATTGCGTAAGTGTGCAGCATTGGGGACAATGCACTGGGAGAAAATAATGCCAATAGCGGGCATTTTCCTACATCAGGAACATCAGAAAATGTGCAAGGAAATTTATAAACAGAGAAGTTTGAACTAGAAAAAAATGCAAGATAAATATTAAATATAATTAAGATATTCTACCATTCGCACGGGTTTTTTTTCTGCCTCGGCAATTTTCAGTCGAAAGACTTTTGAAAAGAAGTGCTGAACCGACTGACAAGTGGCCAACTCATGGCGTAATTAAGTTATACCAAACCAAACCGATTCCAGGGCTTCCGGCTCACCGGCGTTATCATGCGTGTTAATTAATTCCAGATGCTCCTGCCGCGGCGCTGACCTACTGTCCAAACCGACATCAGGAGCCACGTGTGTCTGCCGATCAATTATGCTAACGTTGGGTAGTGTGGCAGCCATCTCCCTCATTTCATTTGCGTTAAAAATTAAACAAACTAGTGCAAATGGGAGGCGGGATGGCGGCAGCGGCACGTGCCTGGCGACTAAAATCAGGTGAGGTGATCTGGGATCCAGTCAACGACGTGCAAATGACTTCTGACTTATTTAAAAAGTATTTGGCTCTCACAGGTTTACAACAAATTCGTTTACAATTCGTGTATGCTATTTAAAATTTGTATACGGTACAAGAACATTCTTTTTACTTCAAATGAAAATAGCATCCATTCTATTTTCCGAAATATATCGCTACAATATTTAACTGAAACACACAAATATTTCTCAATTACAAATAAGCGCATTTCGCTCTTAATGCTAAATCACTAACACTGCAAACGTGGGCCATTAAAGCTATGTTTAATTAGTTTCCGAAAGCAATATGCGCAAACCAAACTTGGCCTAAATTGTCCTAATTCCACAGCAGAAAGCAAATGAAAATTTTGAATCAAAATTAAAATACCCGTCGGCCGCAAAGCAAAGACAATCCCACGTGCTGGCCACAAAACCAAAAGAGTACCATGCCAGATGTGGCCAGTTGGGAAACTGGGCATATGAAACCGCATATGACTGGCGGTGCTGGCCCGCATCTAACCCCTGGTACACCTGCTGCACTTTGGTAAGTGGCCAGGCGCAAGGAACAAATTGAATTTGCCACGGGGCGGATACGTACTGCGGGTGGCGAAGCCTGGGAGCTGGCCAGCAGTCGGGCCACCGGATATCCGCTGGGCGCCATGGCCGCCTCATGCAATATGCAACAGCCATTCAGCCCAAACCTCCGGACTTTTCCGCCGTACTGTTCTTCCGTTCGCCGGCTATGCGGCCGGATTCAGGTCGCACCGCACACAATTGAATCCTGGGCCATTGCAAACAGCGCCAAATTCAAATTCAGCTGAATATTTGGCACCAGCAGTTGCTGACTATGAAGTTTGATTAGATTAGGCCAGCGGGGTGTGATGCTTATAAGGAATTTTAAATGCAATTTGGGTTTATTAGGTGCAAACTCGTTGTTTTCACCCAGAAATGGCAAGCAATTCGAAATTAAATTAAAATATAATTTCAATTTGTTTTTCGTTACTCAAGTATCTTCATAGAGAAAGCTAGTATGAACTAACAGATTAATCACCTTCACCTATAATTATTTAGTTTCCTAAAAGAGTGTACACTGTATTACAATATTTTAGAAATAATCTGCACCTTAGTGGCTCTTGCACACTAGATATTACTGTTTGTGATCATCGCAATAGACTGCACTTTTCGTAGAAGAATTCTTCCTATCCCGTCTTAGTTCTCGACTCTCTATTCTTCAAACTCATGTTGTACATTTGTTTTCTTCTACTTTCTTTTTATAGCTTCAAGCTAAGCAAAAACGTAGTAAATGAACAAACGAAAAAATAGCATCAAAAATCAAAAGTCCAAATCAAAACAAGACAAACATAAATGTAAATTGGTATGCAAATAAACTAAACCATAATTGCCGATGCAACAACAACAACAACAGATCAAACAAATACAACAGCAACAATAAATACAACAATAACATCAACAGCAACAACAAGAAACAAGAACAAAGTTACTGCAACCAGAACAGCAACAACAACCGCTGCTAGTAGATAAAAAAAATTTATAAACAAAAAACCGTAAAACATTTGTGTAAAACTTACATTTTTTTGTCGAGGCACCCAAGCAAAGTAATATTTTGCAACGTAGACTCTTAGGCGCCGCACACAAAAACAACCCAAGAACACAACAGCAACATCAACAGCAACATCTGCAACATCTGCAACATCAGCAACCAGAGCAACATACAACATCCATCCGAAACCGCAAACATCCAACAATCCACCATCGCCACCACCACGAACCACATGAGCCTGAACAAGATCAAGAAGCGGGACGCGAGCGACTTATGACTGATGCGCTCCAAGGGCAACGTCGGCGTCGGCGTCGGCGTTGGGGTCAACGTCGGCGTCGCCGTTGGCAGCGGCAGCCGGTACAAGGTGACGGCCCGCTGTGTGCCCGAAGTGAGCATCACGTCGCCGACGACAGCATCCGGCTCCATCCAGCCCAAGCACTTTGCCCTGCTCCGCAGTCGCTCGCAACCTTCGCCGCCGACGTCTAACATCCTTTTCTCCACGCCAGGCGGGGCCACTCTGGTCGAGGAGGAGGATTTCAGCTTGGCTAGCGGCAGTGGTATAGCGGCCAAGAACGTGCTTCAGCGCCAGCTGGCCACCACCGTCCAGCAGGAGGATCCGGATCTGGAGCATTCCGCGCAGGAGCAGCACAGCAAGTTGTCCGAGCCGGCGGAACCGCCCAATGAGCTAACGCCATTGGTGGAGGAGCCCGGCACTGTAGCGCCTACCACTTCGAGCCAGCGTTATAGCCACAATTCCAAGACCACGCGCTCCTGGCCAGTCATCTACCGCAATCCACATCACTGCGACTACGAGGCCTTGTACGTGCAGCAGCAGCAGCAGCAACAGCAGAGCTTCAAGCAGAACTGCTACTCGAATCAGTTTAAGCAGTCCATCGTCTACTCCAGCAGCAATGAGGAGTTGCCCGGCGGCGAGCCGGTAGCCTCGAGTTCCGCTGATAACCGCCAGACCACGTGCTACTACTTTGCACCCAGCCGGCACAACAGCATTTATGAGCACCCCTCCTCGGTGGTTGGGGGATCCCTGCAGTTCGATAATCCAACGACCACAGCAGCAGCGGCGGCGGCAGTCGAGAGTTTAAGGCGGAGCAACAGCATCCTGTTGCGCCAGAACAGCTGCGCCAAGGTCATTCAGCGTCGGGGCAGCGGCAGTGGTTCACCCAACTCACTGGGCTCCCAGATGGAGGGACTGGGAATGGGCATGGGCGGAAGGGGCGCCGGCAGCGCCTGTTGCTCCAGCTGCTGCATGGGCCCGCCGCCAGTGCTCTTCCTATTCGTCACTCTGCTGATGACCACTAGCGCCACAGCCATGCTGTGCGCCGCCATCATGACTGATCACTGGGAGCACGTCACATGGGACCGCAACAGCCTTGATCGCTACTCCAATCGGTCGGGGCTGCACCTGGAGTGGCTTCTGGACGACCAAGTGGCTATGCTCAAGCCGGACAAGAGGGGTGAGCCTAATCGCCATATCAAATAGTTACCTTCCCATTAGGATAATATTAACTCTAGCGGTGGGTTTCTCCTTCCCCAGCCGATCATCGCTTCCGGCGCGACTCCGTTTTCCTGGTGCCCATGCACGGCGGCATCTGGACGCTGTGCATCGATCTGCCCATTCAGCAGCTGCAGGAACTGCGGCGCAATCCCAAGTTCCCTCGCGGTGCACCGCCGTGTGTCAACTACCTGGCCGGCTCAATGGAGAACGCACGCGGCGAGGAGCAGCGCAACGACTGGCAGCACAGTGAGTCACAGGTCACTCTGCAGCCGCATCTGAGTACGTATCCAGGGGCAGCCCGTATGTAAATCCCAGTCCAGATCCACATCCGCTCTAACCTTCTGGGGGAAGTCTCCCGTATTTATTGTGTACACTTTTGCCTTCCTACTTAGTTTTTCGTTTAATACAAAACATTATTTTATGTACGCACTTAGCACTAATTGTGATTGTAAACTTACAGACTTACAGAGAATTTTGGTAGAAAACAGCAAACAAATAGCATAAATAGGTTCGAGGTATAGGACAGTTGAATGGTGTTTAATGCGTGTGGGTTTGTTTTAAGTAGCCGATGAGTGTGGTGTATTTTAAGGGCTTGGTTGTGAGTGGGTGCAGGTGTGCCACTGGGCAACTGGAATGATTCCCCTAGACGGCGGCACGCTTGGCCGGCGAGCACAGAGCCTCAGCCTCCGAGCTGGGATCCTCCGGCTTCTTGCGCTTGATCAAATGTGTGATGTCTGTGGGCTTGGCCGAACTGCTGCTAATGGTCGATGATGAGGAGGCTGCCGCAGCACTTTTGGAGGAGGAGGACGAAGAGCTAGCGGCTCCATTGGCTGACGAGGACGACGAGGAGGAGGCTGCAGCTGCATCGCCACTGCTCATTGGCTTGATGTAGCTATCCAGGGCAGCTCGCACCTCAGCAATGGTCTAGGAGAACGAACGGAATTATAATGTGGAAACTAAATAATCCCATAATTATTTACCTGGGCCTGCATCTCCTCGATTTCCTGTATCTTGGCCAATATCTCCTGCTTCGTTTCCTCCAAATCCAACATATTGTTCTGGTCGCGCTCGCTAGGTTCGTCCTTGCCCTTTATCTCAGCGATTTCCTCCTCGATCAACACGCTTGAGTGTCGCAGGGCTGTCGCTCCTTCCTTGTTAAGTTGCTGCATCAAATAAGTCAGACCGATCTTGTAATGCAACTCGGCCAGAGCACGTCGGTTTCTTGTGGGCAGCTCCCCGTGGATTTTCAGTGCTTTCTCTACAATGTAAGATTTCCATTAGTTACACTACCAACCACAACACTTTCTTTCTAAACTCACCATAGTCTTCACGTGCCGCCTCTAGTATTCCATTCTCAAATTCAATGTTGGCCAGCTCAGTCTGAACTTCAGCCAAGTAGGGCAGTCCACTGAGGCCCTGGCGCGAGAAAATCTGAGCAGCAGCCTCCAGTATTTCCCAGGCCAACTGCAGACTTCCGCTTACTCCTTCCTCTTCTTCTGGTTCCTCCTCTCCAGCAGCTGCTGCACCGTTGGAACAACTAGCTGTGACTTCACCATTCGATGTGCTCGGTCGCTCGTCATCGTTGATGGCACCTCCGCCACCGCCATTGCTGCTGCTGACCTCATCCACGCCGGTCGGTACCTTCTTGGAGGGCTTTTCATCACTCTGAGCTTGCTCGGCTTCCCCGGTGGAGTCGGCCTCGTCGGACCCCTCCTTGATGGGGTCCAGTTCCTTGCCATTAGAGCTGCTTGCACCATTTGCGGCCTCCTTGGTGTCTTTTTTCTTTTCCTCCTTCTTGGCCGGTCCATCCTCTGCACTTTCTTCCTCGTCATCGTCCACATCCTCGTCATCGTCATCGGCAGCCTCATCAGGCACATCGATCACTTTGTTCTCGTCCAAGGCCATTGCAATTAAAGCCTTTGCATAGCTGCATTGAGAGAAAAGGATTAGGGTAGGTTCTATATAAGTTTTATGCAATGCAATATCTATGTTAATACAGTTCATAAAATTAGGGGACTTTTAGTCCTAGTATTGCATCGTACTCACAGCAATAGGGGCTGGCCCAGCTCATCGGCCAGTTCCCCGTAGACTTCCTCGTACAGCTGGCACACCTGGCTCAGCTCGTCAGCTGCCTCGTCGTAGCTCTTGACCAGGAAGTTGCGCGATCCCTGGCTGAACAGCTCCTTGCCTTTAAGTATTTTCTCTGCACGTTCCTGCTCTGCCTTTCCGGTTCCCTCAGTGGACACAGCCGGCACATTGTCCGGCGTTGTATCAGCAGCAACGGGCTCCACAGCCACTGTCTTGCTTGGTGATGATGCATCGGCAGCGGCCGTTGTGACAATTGCTTCGGCTTCAGCAGACATTTTAAGTGGTTAAATAAATAACTGAAAAGAAATTGTAGGGAAACACCGATTACCTAAGATATTTAAGCAGTTCATAGTTTTGAACATATGTTTTTAACTCTGTAGTGTTTACAAGCTTAAATTATTTAATTATTTTATCTTCACCATCCTAACTGCTTCAGTTTATGTACCTTACTATTATCCCCTCATTCCACACTCCAATAGTCCTCGTAGGTTGAGCCCTAGACGTCACTTTCGATGTATGTAGAAGACCACAAATATTCATTTCTTTCTTACAAATTCATGTAAATTCTATTAATATGCACAAGCACACGAGCTTTGGGCACCAAACACCACATGATTCACACCGTTTCATTTCACTTGGCTTAAAATTTTAGCTCCAAGCCAGCGCACATTTCACAAGTCATTACCGCAAATCCCATTTGCAGCAGCTCAAAGATGTGGGTTTCAACGAATCCCCGGAGCACATCAGATAGAAAAGCAATAGCAGAAGCCAGGAACCAACAATGGCCGTGAGCGGGAACATGGACAGGAACAATGAATGTCCTTGTAGCGTCTATATAAAGTAATTACCACAGCAGCTAACCGAGCTTGCATCCGGTATTCTATATTGTCAATACTGGTCGGTCTCCCGCTCCCCGAAGATGAAACATGTCCGTGTCGAGAGTTCCTTGCCAATGGCTGTTTAGCTAAAGGCCGGCGAACGGGTTTGGGGGTTTCCAATATGGGTCACCGTGTGGCTTGGTTTGCCGCATCCTCTCTCGCTTGCGTCAGGAACTAAAAATCGCAATTGCCACTTTGGAACTTTTTGCTGTAGTTTTTATGGTGTTCCTCAGTGCAACCAAACACATCCACCCACATGCGATTTAATTGCTATGGTGCTATTGGGTAATTGGTTTTACAGTCGCCCAGATTGTGAGCGGAAATTGGAGAACTGAGTTGGGCCACAACGAATTTGCAAATGCAATTAGGTTTCACATTCACATGAAAGTTCTCCAAGAGAAAAACAACTTAAATCTTGCACCATCCCAATCCTTTGCTAGTTCATAAACACATTTTCACAATGCTTAAATAAATTTAACTACGCACTCGCTTATCATCCCAACACTCTGTAAAAAGGACCAAGTTTCGATATTCGAACATCCAGAAACTTTTTCTAATCAAATGTTGATCTGCAATAGGAATGCAAAACCTCTCCATATCCTGCTCATTGGTCTGCCTCATCATTCTGGGCAGTGCTGCCCTCGTAGGTGCCTTTGGCGTTTGCCAGCGCCAAATCAGTGCCATTCTGATCACAGGAGTGATGTATTTACTAGCAGGTAATTATGAGTAAACGCAGCTACTACTTTAAGTTCTTAACCACCAACCTCCTATAACCCAACAGCTCTCTTTGCCCTGTTCACGCTCATGATCATCCACTTCAAGCGGCAGCAGGGACGTCCCATGCTGGACAGCGACTACGATGGAACGGTGGACGGAATAGTGGCGCGACCAGGAGGCGTGGCCATAATGGCCAAGCCACTGCTGGGAGCGCGCATCTTCCTCACCTCGTGGAGCCTCGACTTGGGATGGGGCGGTGTGGTGCTCTGCGCCATCACCTCTGTACTGTGGATCCTGCTCTCCAAGATCATGCGGTACAACCCCTTCTCGGCGCTCATGATTTAGCTAAACGCCTTGCCGCTCGGCGTCTACGGAGCCAGCTACGGGAGTCTGGGCAGCTGTGAGAGCTACGGCAGCTACGGGAGCACCCACACCCACAGCGGCACCAGTAGTGGCGGCAGCTCCAGTTTCCTCCTGGCGGCAGTCTCGTCGACGCGGCAAGCAGAGCACCGTGGCAAGGGAAAGTATATCCTGTAGGCGACGCCCTGCCCCGAACTCAATGTCTAATGAACCGGATACAAGCCCTTACTCAACTTATTTGGTACAGGCTTCCGAGGGTTTTATAATTATAATACTTCTACAACTTTTGGCTAAATTCGCCTTATTAAGGTTCCTTTTGGCTATATTATACTACTTTGGCAAATCAATACCAAGACCATAAGTTGAACCTTTTCAAAAGTGCACCCTCGCATTCCTACTATGTAAACCCCATATTAGTTAGCTATGTATGTATGTTGGAAATGTACCAAACTAAAAACTCAATTGCCTTGTTCTTTATATATACACACACAACTTATACAACTTAATCTTATACTTATACTTATTATACGGTGTACTTAACTTAACCCAATTGTAAATTCAATTTACACTCTCTATTTACAACCTTTTTGTATACATTCGATTTGGCTCTACTTCTACACACCTCCAAACACCCCACTAATCCTTGCTAAAATGTGAGACATTTATTTACACGTAACGAGCGAGTGGGAATAGGAATTCCAGGTGAGGCTTTGGCTTTAAAGTGCTTTCTAGTAACAGTTCGCCTGCATAGCTTTAATCCAGCCCAAAGATAGTTAATTGGGTGTGACAGCTGCTTAAAATTAGAAAAACTGACTGGGGAGGGATAAGACGATCAGGTAGAATTTGGAAAATTGCTTGCGATATTCATAAAACAGTTTGCTTCATGGGCCGTATGAAATGATGAGACGCCTCAACAAAAACATACTTTCCCCATTTCATTGCCCTCCATCCAGTTGGTTTAGTAGAATTCTAGGGCTTGTCATGGAAGCATAATGAATTGTAGAACTTGGCGAGTGCTTATAGAGCTCCAGGGGAACAGTTGTTCGCGAAGCATAATGTAATGAGATCATTTAGTGCTTTAGGACAAATGGTTACAAAACGTATTGTACTTGTAAAGAAGCCTCCACAAACCAAACAAAATGCTAAAGGTATAAAAATGTATTTTTATGCAAACGCTTTGCCTTAAAACAACAAAACAAACAAACAAGAACAACTTATTTAAATACAAAAGATAATTTCTTTTAAAAAGTTTACAAGATGTGTTTTTATATTTTAATGGAGTTTCGGTAAGTATGCATAACTAGAATTTATGCAAAATTACAAGTTCAAAGGCGAAGTATTTTGTTTATGAACCAATGTAATCTATAAATAACCGACACACATTTATGAAATTCCATTTAGCAGTCAATTCTGTAAAAATTGTATTGCGAATTTCTGTCGGCCTGGACGGTTCATTAACATTTGCGGAGCTGCTGTGGAAACAAATTAAGCAAACATGCAAATGAACTCGCAATAAAATTGGCAAGAAAACTTGACACTTTCGCGAGCTTTTGCACGAGAAACGGAGACACCACGTAGAAGAGAACGATGCAGGACAATTATCAGAGATAAGAAAAACAGCTGGCAAAAGGAAAATTTATGGGAAAACGCATCATGTGTGTTTGTTTTCGCGCGTTCAAAGCAATTACAAAATTCACACACTGCGCAGCGGCTCAGCAACAAATTGCGATTACAAAACAACGTAAAAAGGTTCATTCACCTGTATGCGTTGTGTCTGTTTCGCGCTTTTACGTGTTTATGCGTTGGCCAAAGTCGTGAAAAGAAAAACATTCTGAAATGTAAGCTAAGTATGTACCTTTATTTTAAGGATCACTTTATAAATTATGTCAGTCATTGGACGTGTTTAAGTACAACAATATAGAATACTTTTTATATATTCATTTAGTATATAACTAATAAATGATTGTTCAATTTTTGGTTACACTCAATTCCCTATTGTATATTATTTTATTATTATTATTCAAATCCAAATTATTTTCACAAAACTCTAAGCCTTCTATAACATGATCAAAGCGAATTTCGCATAAACCCTTTGCGAAAAATAAGTGCGAGTGTATGCGGATTGCCCGCCATTCGCCCGCGCCAACAACCACAAACACACAGACTATACACATACACCTACACTAACACCGGTAAAGCGCAATTGGCCATTTAGTTTCTCACAAATAACAACGGCACGTTTCGCATATTTATAGCGAAACAGAAATTGCGACAATTAATTAATGTTTAGCACAAACAACGTAGTAACAACAGCAACAACACAAAAACAACAGGCCAAAACGAAATTCGCAAATTCGCGTGTCGCTGTTTTGGCTGCGTTTGTGTGCGTGTATGCCTGCATCGGCATTTAACTGTAAGAATTGAGCTTAAACTTACTTGATCCTCGATTATTTGTATTGCTTTCAAAGCAATGGACAGTAAGACCAATTGATTGTCGGTAAATATAGCACTATTATCAATGTTAGACCATGAAAATGCCAATACTCGGCAACAAAAATTACAGATCCCGCGAAATGCTGAGAAAATAGCGACAATGTGAACGCATTGGGGGCGCTTTAAAAAGCCGCTTGGCACGATTCATATACTGCAAAATATACTGAAAAATCAGTCTAGGACCTGCCAACTTGGTTTCACAAATAATATTGTGTTTACACTGACTCATATTTCTTAGTCACTTGTTCTGTAGCAAAATGCTGTGAACATTCCCAGCGGTGGTCAGTGTAAGCGCTGGTATTACCTTCTTGATATGATGTGGAAATCGTTCTATCGACTACTCGATAAGCAATACTATCGAGAGTGGTTAGCTCAGCACTATCTATTTGGGCCATTCTCACTTCGCATTTCAAATCGGAGCAGAAACGTTCGGTCCGCGGCAGAGCGAACGAAACATACGTTAGCAGTTCCATTTCGTAGTGACATTAATTGGTAATTCAGACTCGAAGTGCAACACACAAAATTGAACTGTGCAGCGCGATTTAAGTTAGTTTTCGGACCGGATTCCATTCAGAAGGGCAAATTTCTTGGCGGTGGAACCACCCTGCGGCAACTGTTAAATATTTATACACACCACCAACGGAACGCACGCACTTACATACTTCCCATTGCGAGTGGCGCCAACATATGTAAAGTAGCGATAAGAAAGAAAACAACCCAGAAGAGGAAAGCACACTTATTGTAAGTGAATATGCACTGTGTTACATAGCTATGGATATTTCGAAGTTCTATTGATTTTTGGGTTCTCCAAAGTTTTTTGCCGCCTTCGACGTGTTTTTGTCGCCTTTTGTTTTGTGCTTTTGCTTCCGTGTGTGTTCGTTCGCCTTGATTTTTCCATTCAACTGGGCTTACGTCTTTATTCTCCTGTTTTTGCTTTCTGTCCCCACATCAAATTGTGGGTGGGGTGGGCGCTTGAACCGCTGTTGATTCACCTGTCGTTTGTTTTTTCTCTTATTTTCGTTTTCAACTTCACGGGCAGCTGCGAAATCTCAGCTGCTCCAACAACAACAACCGAAAAAAGAACAACAAAAGCCAGCTTTCTTTGGTGCAATAACCGGTTTTCAAGCTTTATTGTATTTCGAAACTGTGATAATAGCTGGTGTTGTTTTTCGTTTGGCGTATTTTACCGCTTTGTAACCCACATAATTATAAACTAACTAATAGTAATGACTGTAAAAAGTGGCAATAATTTTCAAATGGGGAGCACTTGCTAATTTATTGGGTTACGGTAGCATTGGCAGGTAGTTCATTTTGACGCAGTCCAAAAGTATGGCAAAATGGCAAAAACTTTTCCACTTATAATGTCAGTTGTTCATTTTATACCATTTTTACCTGCCAACTTCAGTTGCATATGATGGATGCATCCTCCTTCTCCTTTGCGCACTCACCACTACCAGTCCACTGGGAGAAATGCGGGACCATCATTTTATCAAACTAAAATACATATAAGCTTAACAACAATAGTGTTTCTTGTGCATTATAAGTAAGAAATGATTACCAGAAAATGTTTTAAAATTGATTTTCTGAGTGGTACACCATCTTTGCTGAATTCTTTGGACTGAAGTTTAAATTGGATTTCAGTGCAGCTAGCATAATTTCTCTTCGAGCCTTTTGGACATGCACCAGGCTATTTCTATGTCCTGAAACAAGCCGAAAGCACTCGCTCCAAGGATAACAGGCTAGTCAGGCCACAAAATCGATTCTCCACGAAGCCCAATACCTTGGAGAAAACCCGACACGTGATGGCGCCTGGCTGGGAATTACGGAAAATGGAAAAAAGAGGCCACGGAGTGAAGGGACAGGATGGTTTGGATTGGGCATGCCAATGGGAACTTTCAACTCGTTCTGGTCTGCCCTTTTCACAACTTCTGGCGCAACCAGAACCAACTGCGGCAAAATTCAAACGGGGGAAAAACATGGCGCATATAAGCTGTAAATTTAAGGGGACAACCCGGTCAGATATTTTGGGGGAACTAAGTTTAGAATCCAGGGTGTAGATGCATGCGGCAAACAACAAGCAGATAGCGTATCTAAGATTATCTAAACTTCCTATTGGGGGTGATTTCCGTATGAGGACGTGGATTACCTACCACACTTGTAAAGCGATTGCATCAGTACGGTTACCATATTTCTGTAGACCAATATCATTAGTAAACAAATTGGTTTATAAGATAAGTAATCTTTAGTTTTATCAGAGCTTACAATTGGAAAATGGTAATCTCACAAAAATGCAATTATTTTAAGGAATTATAGTTCCCCAGCACTGTTTTGCATTATATTCCCATTGCCAACCTCATTATCATACAGTGTGTAGTTTTTTATTGACACTTAACTTCTACAGACCAAAACACACATTCATAGTATCACACATCATTGTTAATCTCTTCTTTCGAAAACTTTCAACATTTTTTTTTTATACACCCCAAACCAACATCATTTGAAGACCAAACTTTTTAAGGGAAACTTCGGCACTTAAACATATCAAAAATTCCTTTTCAACTGGCGCCCGACAAAATCCCTAGGAATTCAATCACTTTCGCTTGTAAGTAAAGTAGTGGGGAGTGTGGTGTAGTTTGTGGTGCAAAGATGCCTGAAACTAACTTTGTACTATGCATGCACATTGGGAAAATATTTTGTTTCTCTATTTTATATATTTTTCGCCGGCTTCTTTTCATTTCGAGCTGCCGAGGAGCAGGCACACAGACTCCTGGCTGCCGTCTGGTTTTTTCCCAGGGGATGGGGTTGCATGAAGTTGTGCTGTCTGCGCTCCATCCACAACTGGCGGGTTTCCCAGGTCCTGCCCCTCCCGCTCCTCCTGCTTCCCGGCGTCCACCATCCTTTGTTGTCTCGGTGGAAACGGAGATGGCGAATGGCGAATGACGCTGCCGTTGGCTCTTTTATGACGCAGTTGGTCCGGGCAAGTTGAAGTTTGTTTGCTCGGCCGTGCCTGCAAAGGAGTTCATTCTTCTATAATGCATTAGCGAGCCACTGAAGAAGTTGTCTCGGTATAGTATGTCCATGTTTGTTTAAAGCCAATCGGGTACAATAAGTGGCTTCTCCTTCCATCCCAAAAATCCCGCAAAAATCCTAGCTCAACTGAAAAAGTTTCCGGCTCATTAAAACCAATTTGCCTGGGAACATTTATAGAACTTTTTGCCTTTGATGAAAAGCATCCATTTGCGGCTAGACCAGCCGCATGAAAATAAATAACATTTTGCCAATTTCCAATTAATCAGCAAAGTCAACACCAGCAAAAGTTCATTGAATTTGCAGCTGTGTGGGGTTTCGGTTTGGGGATTTCGGTAATGGATTGGAATTAGAAGGGGTATATCTGGGGTTTAAAGTTTCTCGCCCAGCACGCTCCGCTTCCAATGATTAGTCAGCCGAGTGATATGACTAAGCGACCCACCAAAGCGTTTGGCCACCACACGAGACGGAATAAAATTCAAATTAAAACTAGAAGTCGGAGAGGTGAGGGTGGTTGGTTGGGGACTGACAGCCAATCGGTCACTTAACCCGCTGCAAGGTCTAGTACAGTAAGGGCTCCTTGTGATGGTCGTCCTTTCTGAAGACAATGATTATGATGATATTCAGTCTTTCAGTATTCATAAGCAAAATCATATTAAGCGAATACCATAAGTATCTCCTTGATCTTGAGCACTTAACGAAAAGTATCTCAGTAAATTTTAATTTTATGAG